TCAGTGGAGTAAATAAAGCTTCACAGATGGCAGTGTGGGTATTTAGAAAGGTGAGATTTACTCATGGGTAACTGATAAGAAACACTCACCCCAGAGCCAAGTGATCTCAGACTCACAAGTCAGAAATCATAGCTGGAAATCAGCTAAAGATGGTTGTGGGCCAGCACATCCCTCTCCCTCTTTTCCAGAAATTCCCAGTGTTAGGGTAACACTATGTGGATTTTTGGGGAGCATTGGATTTGCAGCTGAATAAAGGCATGACCTGTGGCTTAGCAGAGCTGCTGACCACAAGGCATAGTGATATCTAAGCTAGCCATTTGCTTATGCTAAGTAACCATCTTAACTGTGTCAACCATTTTCAAGTGAGTCTGCATGCTGTGAATGAGGTCAAGTTTTAGGAATGTGAAGATGGTACAACCTGGGATAGAAAAACAGACTGGAATGTGAAAAACAACATGTAATTGGTAACAGAATCCGAGACGAACATATGCAAAAAGATGAATGGGGATTGGTGAAGAAGCCTCCAGAAGCTTCCAGGTTTTGGTCAAAGTCCGCCCATTGACCAAAGAGCAGGAGTCAAGGTCTTAGACATACACTCAGCAAAAAGACATGTAAATGAATGAAATGCTTAGGCAATTCCATGCTAATGATGCAAACAGTAAGTAGAGGCGGAGCTTGAGATGGGAGGAGAAATGGGTGGAACATAGAAGGGACAAAGGTGGAATGAATGTTAATGAATATAAACCAAAGTGTATAAACGTGGGGAAAAAACTATTGTTCAGTGCAGGTCCCCTGGTTCACGGGCTGTGCATCTGTGAGGGACCCTTGTCCGAAGCTGTCTTCATTCTGAATAAGCTGTTGCGAGCCATGTGTGCTGATGTTTGCTCCCTGCCTGCTCTGGCTAATGTGTAACAGGACCCATGAGCAATTGGATCGTCGTCTCCCTAGTCACTGGGTGCCACACAGAGGCGGGGTCTAACATCTTGGTGTAGTTGGCAGGATTCGACACACATTTGGAGGGGACTGATCATCGCGATCCTACCAGGGCAAGGCCCAGCAGGCGTACTGGGTTCCTCCCTTAGCCTCCCAGTTGCTCAGTTCCTCATCTCTAACAATGGAGGTAACAAATGCTCTGCCCAGCGGGGTGCTGTAAGGAGAAATGCTTTAAAGACTATGAAGTGCTTGGGTACTACGTAATAGGGAAATGGAGTTGGGGTCTAACACCCAGCGTTTAAAAAAATGTTGCAGTTATTCTTCAAATCATGTAAACTAGCATGGGCTCTGATATTAATGTGAATCCTTTGTACAAGATACCAGGGCTATCAAGAAATGAAAGCAAAAGCTAAAAGCTGACTATTCCTGGGAAGAACTTTGACAACAAAGTTGTCAGAACAAAGACATCAGGAATAATAATTATTTATATTTACATCAACAAGTTAAAAGGCAGATGGGTTTGATCCCTGCATTTTAAGGGACATCTATCCAGAAAAACTATCAGAAAAGCTGAGAAGTTCTTTGGCAGTAAAAAGAGATATTTATTGAAATATTTTTCATTTCACTGACTTTTGTGTTCATTGCCTAGTTGTCCTATTTGTCTTTGCTGTATGGAATGTCATGGCTGCCCTGCAAAAGAAGCTTTTCCTTTGGCCCAGCTGATCTAGGGATGGCCTCTGGGGGAAGGACTTCTACCCCTGCCATGAAATCCTGAATGGCCACAAAGTGAAGACATGTAATTAAACTGTGACCATAAGACCAGGATTGATCACATGCACATTCCAAACTGTATTTTACTCCAGGATGTGTACCATCTCTATACTGAGTGAGAAATATTGGCAGGGCAGATTGTGCTGCTGAATTACTTGTTCCGAGGACAAATGAAAATCACCTCTTTACTGGAATATTTCTTCATAATCCCTATTACGTAGTACCCGAGCACCTCATAGTCTTTAAAGCATTTCTTCTTGCAGCACCTCACCAGGCAAGGCACTTCTGTTACCTCCATTGTTAGAGATGAGGATCTGAGCTACTGGGAGGCTAAGGGAAGAAATCATAGGAGGAAAACCACAAGGAGGATTTAGATGTCACAATGCTGGGCATTGCACAGCCTATAAATTAGGCACTCGGCAGCCTCCTGAAATTCCCCTGAGCTAGGGTCCTGGGCTCCCTACCCAAAATGAGAGTTACACACCAAAGGATAACATTCACAAAACCCACCGCACACCAAGCAGGGAGCGGATTAAGTTAGCAAATAGGAAATATTCGTGCATCTACATGAGACATTTACTGCGGAGCTGCCTTATTAGGTTCTCAGTAAATGTCTCAGCATCTAATAAACTCTGCAGCAGGGTAGTATTGGTAAATACAAATAGTGCCCTGCTGCAGAGTTTTTTCATGCACAGCAGCGCATGTGTACATGCTGGGGCACGAGGGTGTTTCAGGGCTGCCTGCTGGCTATCCCTACATTGAAGCACTCTTGTGCCCCAGCCAGCCCCTCCACAGCACACTGAACCCAGTCGAAGCAGCCCCAGGCTGGCAGGCTGACCCCCCTGCAAGCCTGGGCTGCTCTGACCTGGCTCAATGTGCTGTGGTCTGGGTGTACGTGTAAACGGTGCCCCTGGGAGCTTCCTGGGAACAATCAACTGCTGGGCAATAACCTCCAGAGTTTATTGCTGCACATTAATGGCACATGTAGGTGTGTTCAACTGAGGAGAGAGTAGGGATTAAGGGGCCTAATTCTTCAGCTTTCACCGTGATGAGCTCTCTTCTGAACTAAGTTAGGTGTTGAAGCCCATTTTTCCACACTGAAGGTGGTGTTAGTGCTCCAGCTGTGTTCCTATTGTTCAAGCATTCAGTGGTTAGGATGCTCAGCTGGGATTTTGTATTGAATATTCAGTGGAGCAGAGACTTAAGCCCATTGAGTAGTGCCCTAACAATGAGGCTTTTGAGCCATATTTTGTCATTCTCTCTGGCTCATTGCCTAGTTAAGTATTTTACACAAAGTGGGCATGTCTACATGTGCAATTAATGCGGCTGAACATACTCTGACTCAATTTGAGCCAGCGTAAACTAATCTCAATGTCATTGTCTATATGTGTGTTGAAGCGCAGTAATTTACTGTGCTGCTGGATACCACTTGTATTTGATAGGACTATCCAGCAGTTGCAGTAAATTTGTCTACTGTGCCCTAATTGCCATGCACGTGTAGACAGTGATGCTTTACTGTGCAGAAATTAGTGTGCTGCACAGCAAAGCATCTCGTGTAGATATGCCCAGTGGGGTGTCAGCAGGACGGGCTGAGAGAGAACCACCCCAGGAAGCCCCATCACCTGCTGGTTACATCCCTAAGAGGTGGGAAATGTGAGTTCAGATCTTTTCAGGCAGAAGAGAGATTTCAATCAGGATCTCCTACACCCCAGTTGAGTGCTCTAATCACTGAGCTATTTGGTAATAGTAAAGAAGAAGGCACCAGCTCTGGCTTGGTTGTCTGAGTGCATATGAGGTCTGAGTGCACCTACTGGATCAGGCCCTCCAAATGACCTAGGCGCTAAGCAGCTTATCTCTGTCAAGACTTATGGCTCTATGCCTGAGTAAGAGCAGCAGTTTAGTTGCTTACAGTATTTATAGGGTGCCTGTGGATGTGCAGGGACACTGCTCCGATGTGCTGTAATGACTGTAGCGTGCTAATTAACATGCTCCAGCAGCCTTCAAAATGGCAGAGGGGGCACTTTAACTAAAGCTCATCAAACAAGCTTTAGATAAAGCAGCCCTGCCACCATTTGAAGCACAGGACGCTGATAACATGAGATGCTGCGGGCACTTTAATTAGGGTGGCTCTCAGACCCCCTCTATTTAAAGTGCCCTGTTCCCTACCCCTGGAGCATGTGTAAAGATGCCCATAGAGACTTAGGCACCAACATGGCGAGGTGAAGGTTTGTAAATGCCAGTCTCTTTCCATATATCGGTCATAAGGACTTAAGCCCCTTCCTGAATCTGCTCTATTTGTGATTTACCGGAGGCAAGATGGAGCAGAAAATCGACTGCTTATTTCTCTGTGTTTTGATGCAGTGTTTTATTTAACTCTGTGTTAAGACTGAATCTTTTTAGCCTGTATTCTAAGGGAAGCAGTGAAAAGGACCTAAGTCATAGGCAAGAAACTTCTTGAAAAGACTAGCTAGCCTTAGGATATTGTATCTTGATTAAGGGTTCAGGTCTGTGTTCTAGCTGCACCAACAGGAAAACACACGAGCATCTCCTTTCTGACCATATTTGTCAAAGTCTCTATTAAGTAATGTTGTAAGCCTTTGTTTGAGGAGGGGCATAAAAAGGGACTCAGTGCTCTGAGATGTGTTCCTCTGGCACCTTTGCTGAAGTTCCTGTCTGCAGACTTAATGAAGATCCAATGCCTTTTTGGAACATTGTCTCTGAATTTATAAGATCTCCCAAACAGGTTGGCCATCAGTTAGACATTCTCAGGATTTTAAGATGTAGATATTCCCAGTTCTAAAACTGCTTATTTCTGCTTGGAACGGAAAAGTGTGTGTGTGTGTGTGTGTGTGTGTGTGTGTGTGTGTATATATATATATAAAATCTGTATTTACTAGCAATAGTCACAATTAGAAATTCTAATAAAGTTTGCTTCTATGTTCGCTCCACAGAAGGACTCATTTTGTATGAGCACAGGGCCTGCCAAAAGAAACCCTCTGATCCCCAAATCTACTTTAGTGGGGGGTCAACAGCTCTAACCACTAGACATTCTTCCTTCTCAAATGTAGCACTAAATCCACTCTATTGACAAAGAAATTTGAGTCCCAAAATACACTTCATACAAAAACTCTGCAGTAGGTGATTATCGGGTATTTCCAGAGCAATTATCTATTACAGAATGTGCAATTATCTGCTTTAGTCAGCCTCTCCCCACATGATGTTGTAATGACAGCTGGCTACACTGTGCTGCTTCATATCTGTTTCTACCCAGGCTTCTCCTAAATGCTTTTGGAAAGATGCCAGTACTGAAATGTTCCACAAAGCTACAGCTATTGGAAAAAATATTAATGTGGAGCTTCCCTGAATCCCTGAAGGTAACACAGATCTAATCTGCACCTTTTCTGTGCCATTTCGTTTGGGGAATCAGAATGTTATGCAAGATGGAAGCCAGGTGGGGTGAAACTTCTTTGCAATTACTGCTCCTTTTATACTGATTTGGCTTCAAATCCAGAAAGATACAAAATCCAGTGGCCGAACACTTTAGCCTCCATTGGTGATGCATAGGGGGTGCACGCGCACCCCCTGAGCTTGGCAGTGCACCCCTGCAAAAAACTGCTGCTCGCCACCCCCCTCTTGCTGCCAACACCACTGGCGGTGTCTGCAGGCAGTCCCCAATTGCCGGTGGCCTCTGTGGGTGGTCACTGACCTCTAGTCAGTGCTTGCCACCCCAGCCCCCCCACTGCTGACACCCCTGTGGCTGCCTGTGTGAGCTCCCTGGTGAGCCGACCCCTGCTGCTGACACTGCCGTGGCTGCCTGCGGGAGCTCACCGCCACCACACCCCCACCGTCACCGCTGCCTGCGGGCAGTTGTCATGCCCCCCCCAGCCTCCAGGGGCATGCGGCGTTCATGTTAACCTCCCCAGATATTCCATCACTGACCTCACAGTAACTGTTCTTAAACAACAAAACTTCTAAAACCATAGGTGACACATAGGGCATTCACAGGGGGTGCATGTGCACCTCCTGAGAGTGCTGGTGCCCCCCCTGAGAGCGAGCACTCTTGGCTAAAGTGATGAGCAGGGGGGCAGGCAGAGTGCTGGTGCTCCCCACTCCGAGAAGTGCTACTGGCACTTCCGGGTATGCCACCGGCCGATTGGCTGGGGGGGGGCACCCCCCCCCCACTGACACCACCATGGCCGCCTGCAGATGGTCCTCACTTGGCTTGCCATCGCCGTGTCTCCCCAGCCTCAGGAGGCACACGTCACCTATGTGTAAACTCCATTCTAAATGGGAAATTGTGGAACAAGAAATCATCCACAGACTGGGTTGTGTTAATTATGTTCTCCAAAGAGACTCTAGATCAGTGGTTCCCAAACTGTGGGTCACAACCCCAAATGGAGTCACAACATCAGTGGATGGGGTCGTGGGCGTGGAGCTGTGGGTTGGGAGTGAGGGGCCATGCTGAGGAAATGGGGCCATAAATGGGGTCATGCTAAAGAAAAGTTTGGGAAGCCCTGCTCTGGATTCTTATCCCATCGCCTAGACTAGTTTTTATAACTCTTATGTCTGGATTAAGAGCTCAAATTCACATGACCTGGACTATTTTTATAACCCCTATGTCTGTCAATGGATGAATTGCTTTGTTTACTACTTTTGATTTCTTCAACTTGTCTTCTCCTCTCTCAGCCTCTCTCTCCCTTTGCTCCCCATCTCCTTGTATTTAAATGATTTTATTCCTTTCTATATAGTACCCCTGCTCTCTGCAAGTCCATTTATAGCATCTGACAAAGTAGGACATTGCCCATGAAAGCTTAGGATCTCTGAATGAGTTAGTCTGTAAGGGTGTGTCCGGACAAGCACTGCAAACCACACACGCTGCACATGCAGGTATTTGCTGCATTGTTAATTTGCAGCACAGTGGGGTTTTTTTTATGCCAGGACATCCTGGTGTAAAAAAAAAACCATGTAAAAAAAAGCAAGGCGGTGCACATGGCAGCAGCATATGCCACTCAAAACCAGAGCCTGGCTGGCCGGAGCCACACTGGCTGCCGGCCAGGCTCCATGTGCCTGTATCACCACTGCTGGAGCCACAGTATGCCCCTAGGACCTCAGGTAAGGCTGCAGGGGCCAGCTCAGGTGCTGGCTGCAGCCTCCCCTACCCCACCCAGGGTAACTTGCTGTGTGCCAGAGCATGCCTGCATTGGCATTCCCCAGGGCCAAGTAACAGCAGCACAACTATGTGCCACTGCTGTTTGTCCCCAGGGAAATGCATGTGCGCGCTCATCTGGACGTGCCCTAAGGTGCCAGCCTGCTCTGCCTTCTGCCTGACTTAAGACTAAGATGGCTAACCACCCCTCTGGGCGTTATACAGTTTTTGTCCTGGGGGTGAATATCATGTTTCAGTCTCCAGGGTTGTCCATTTGGTAACTTTTAGAACCCCAAATTCATATTCCTTAAGAACAGGACCTCCCCTCCCCCACAACTAGCATAGGACTAGTTATGCTAGTCAGGGAAGCTATCATCTGATAGTACTGGGTATGACCCAGTGGTTAGTGTATATAGGTTGGGCTTTTCCTTTTTGTGGCTGATCAACAGAGAATATGGGTGCATCCTCACATGCAGGGGTGTGCACTTGCAGTGGCAAAAATAGTAGCAGCACAAATTTGTGCTGCAGTGTATGCCCTTGCATGTGCGCTTTGGTGTAAGGCAAATCACCCTGTTTCAGGGAAATTGCCCTTTCCCCACTTCTCCTGCCTCCTGGCCTGCTGGAGGAGCCAGGGGACAACTAAAGGAGTGGAGATGCTTTGGCCAGTAGCCACAGCATCTCGCAGGAGGACCAAACCTCCATGTCTGCTGATGGACGTGAGAGAAGTGTACATGTGCTGGTTTTTTTGTGCCATTTGTTTTTGCTACTGGGATTTCCCAGTAGAAAATTTGCCCCTCTGCTGCAATTTTCCAGTGCAGGGCATGTTTTAACGTTCCAGGTGTGCTGTTTGTGGTGCCACACAGAATGTAAAGTTTCAGTCTCCAGAGTTGTCCATCTGGTAACATTTAGAAACCCAAATTGACATTCCTTAAGAACAGGACCTCCCCCACAACCAGCGTAGGACTAGTTATGCAAGTCAGGGAAGCTATCATCTGATAGTAGTGTAACCCAGTGGTCACTGTGCATGCAAGTTTGCATGTAAGTGCGGCACCACAAACTGGACATGCCTGCACACCTGGCTGCAGCCTAGGGTTTGTTTCAGAGTCTTATTCTGTCACTCTGGATGGCTGTATGTGCTGGGTGTCCAAGGGTAAGCCTCAAGCCTTTATCTTTGGCTCTTATCTGGCAGGTTTATGGAGCTGTGATGAACATAAACCGAGGGAATCCCTTCAGGAAGGAAGTGGTGGTGGATTCATGGCCAGATTTCAAAGCTGTCATTACCCGGCGACAGAAGGAGGTAGATCCAACTGGTTTTAGTCCAAGTTCCAGAGAAGCTTACAAGATGTGGATCTTGTTGTGACCGTCTCTTCTATTAGCATCTTGGAAGATTTGCGTGGGCATACGACCCTGAGGAAGAAGTACAGAGCAAAACCTGCACTCTCTAACACTTTGCGGAGTACGGCTACACCACAAGCTTACCATGGCAGTCAGCAGCATGCTTCAACATGCAACAATGATCGGTGCGTGTTGCTACTTGAACCAGAAGTTGTGTAAATTAGTTCACCTGCAGTTTTGTGAAAATGACTACACTGCTTCTGGTTCAGGGGAGTGGCTGGTGTGCAGCAGCATCATAGGTGTAGGGAGAAAAAATTATTTTGGGGGGCTGATTGTGCGCATGCATGCGCACCCATGCCCCCGCAGCAGGTAAGTCTGGGGGAAGGGGTGGGAGGGCATAGGGCTGGGGCAAGCCCTGTACAGCCAGGGCAGGGCATGGGCTGAAGCTGCAAGCTGTGGGGGCATGGGGAGGGGGTAGCGACTCCTGCTGCTGCAGGCACCCTGGGAGGGCATGTGCCCTGGATCTGTGCATGGGGCAGGGCAGGCTGCCACTGTGGGCTGGGGCCGGGGCTGTGCCAGGCTCTTCCCAGTGCGGGGTTGGGCCATGCTGCACTTGGGGCAGGCAGTGGCGGTGCTGGGAGGGGGTGTGTGGGTGGCTATGGTGAATTTGGGGTGGCTGCAGCCTCCCCCACCCATAGCCCCGCTCCCAGCATCACTGCTGCCTGCCCCAAGCATAGTCTAGCCCAGTCCCCTCGTCCCCCACCCTGCTGGGAAGAGTCCGGTGCAACCCCAGTCCTAGCGTGCAGTGGTAGCCTGCCCTTCCCTGTGCACACGCTCCAATGCCTCCCGGGGTACACATAGCAGCAGAGATATGCCCCCCATGCCCCATGGGGCTGTGCCCCCAGAGCTCGTAGCTGTGTCCCATGCCCTGCCTCACCCCACCCCGGCTGTACAGTGCTTGCCCTAGCCCCAGCCCCACTCCCTCTCTCATTGCTGTGTGCGTGCCCCTCCCCATGTCTCCTGCAGCTGCCAGAAGCCCACGGGGCTGTACCGCTGCCCCATGTTTGGGGGGGGCTAATCCCTGTTAGCTCCCCCCTTCTGCCACCTATGAGCAGCACAGTGTGTTCTGAGCATGCTCCCTCCTGCCATGGTAACTTTGTGCTGTAGACATGTCCTTGGCTCAGTCCTGGGAACCCATGTGTTTCTCATTAGTGGGACTTGCAGAGATAAATGTAGCAGGTTAAATTAATCTTTGCTGGAAGTAGATGTGATGCCCAGTAAAATCAGCGGGCTCTTGTTTATGCCAGGGCTGGTTTGGGCCCATCTCTACAAGACAGACAAAGGGACCAGAAGCAGCTGGCAGGAAAATGCACCCAGAGTACTCCAATATCCAGGAGCCTTAAGAAGCTGCCACTGGGTTCAGGTTAGGTGGTCACCTTGGAAAGGTGAGGTCTTTCCTCCTACACAACTATAAGCTGTTGCAGGGATATGAATAGCAATGAATATCTCAGTTTTTCTACCTGATCTTGACATTCACTGTGGAATTACTTAATTACTTTCCACCATATAAATCCCCCGAAAGAATGTTTTAATTCGAGAAGCCTTGAAGATCTGATTATTGGATCTTTGGTTGGGATATCTCTGAGCTTTGATTTATTAGATAAAAGGTAAAGGAAGAATGTTTCTTAGCAATTTAATCTATTCTTCTATCCAGAAGGAGGTGGATGACCGTGACCATTACACCAATGCATATGCAGTTTTCTACAAAGACTTACAGGCTTACCGGGAGCTACTAGAAGAGAGAGACACCATCGACTGGGGACAGATCTTTCAGCTACAGGGTATAAACTGATGTAAAACATTGTAAGGGAAAATAGACCATGCCACTGCATTTGGGATAAGGATTCCTTGTAAAGATGTGAAACGCAGGATGCAGGAAAGAAGTGAGTCAGGCACAACCTTCCTGGCTTTTGCATTTCATGCCTCCTGTAGGTTTCTCTGTCATTTGGTCAAGTTCAGCTTTCAGTTATATGGGTCCAAATCCTTGTTTCACGAGATGTTTATTTTTTTCATAGTCTGTTCTCAGTTAAAGCCACAGATCCCTAGAGACTGTTTGGCTAACTAACATGTCACATGACAGTAGTAGATGGCTCTTTAATCTAGTAAATAAAGACATAATGAGACCCAGGGGTTGGAAGCTGAAGCTCGACAAGTTCGGAGGAGAAATGATGTGCAAATGTTTAACTTAGCTAGGGGTCAGGTGGATACTCTGCCCATTTAAATCTTACAATCAAGACTCGATGTCTTTCTAAAAACATACTATAACTCAATAGGAGGCAAGAGCTAGAGATATAATTACTGTGTGAGGGTCTGACATGCACTGGGCAGGAAATCCTAGGTAGATCCTGTGATGGCCCTTTTTGGCCATGAAGTCAAGAAGAAGGTGTAGAAGGGGGCGGACATTTTGAATAACACCGAGACCTTTAAGGACGTCAGATGAACAAGTGAATCCAAGCCTTGATGTCCCATATTTCTCTTTGTACACATAGGGCTCCAGGCAGGAATATATGAAACATCCAAAGCTGTTGCTAAGTCTAAGCAGGTTGATGTGAAAGTATCCTCCTTCCAGATGGTTATCCACCCAGACCCTGACACACTGCCGGACGTCAGACTTCAGTATGTCCAATTGCATCCTTCTATGCTGCTATTGAAATAGTAATATGCAGACTACTAGGTCATTAAACCAAATGCTACATGAAAACTAACACAGTGGAGGGCTGGAGGTGTAAAAGTTCTATTTTCTTATCCATCTTCCAGTCTTTTTATTGACCTATATCACTCTTCTGCTATTGTATCTTTCAGAATAAATATCATTCCTCTTTCTCTTCTCTTGTCACATGCATGAGTTCCAGAAGCCTGTTCTCTTTTCATCTTTCCCTTTTTTATTGATGCCCTAATATTAAAAAATAGATGCATTTTTCCACAGGGACCTTCCAACACCACTTTGGAGCCTATCTTTTCTCATGGTCCCTCCATAGGTTGGATGTCTGTGAGACAGCAACGTTTTGCAGTGTTCATAAGAAACAAAGGCTTTCTTTTTCCTAGATGTAATTTCTCAGTAGTGGATTCAGAATTCACTGAGCACTCCCGAAGCTGTCCCCCGCATCCAAGGCATGGAGGGAAAG